AAATTACAGGGCGTATTAACATATGAATGAAACTTTAAAAACACAGGGTAGAAGCCCACACATGTCATTGTAGAGTTCCATTATGTTCAGCTCATCAACCACACCTCAGTTTTCATCATTTCTCCACGGACACACAACTCTGAACGCACTGGGCACATGTGATTAAAAGAGATGAGGTGCTAAATTCCAGATGATTCCGAACGGCACATACGTCTGTGTAACGCAGGGGTCTCCAACCTGTAGCTCGGGAGTTAGTTACGAGTTGCTCTCCACCCCCTTTCAAGTCGCTCACCAAGGCATTTCTGATTTCTTACATGTATTGTCCTGAATAACTCAAATTTGATTAATTAAATGCCTGATGTCTGATTTTGTGCACTCATAAATTAATAATAGCTTATGTTTTTTGGGGTGTCAAATTATCACGTTAATTGCGATTGATTAATTACAGTCATATTTAGCGCGTTATGTTTTTTAATTGTGTTAATCTTATTTTTAATCTCTAACTTTACTGTTTCTGTACATGAGTTGCCTTATTATAAAATCTGTTTTTATGTGTTGTTAGGACACAGTCTCGCACTGTGCAGTCCTGCTCCGCTCGCTCCCGCAAAGAATTGTAGCCTAATTTTCATTCCCGTTCTCGTCCGCATCTGTGATAAACCTGCACACGTCTGATCTCTGAAAACATCGCGACACAGACACAGAACAGACTCACCATCAGCATCAACATCCCTCTGTCACAGAAAGAACATCTATATTCCACTGAGTCGTGTCCTTTAGTAGAAGCTGAACCGCATCAGCACAAGAGCGATTTTTTTTTTTCTTCTCTCTGCTTAGTTTATGCAAATTAGCCATGCTGTTTTAAGTTTCGTTTCTGTGAGACTTGCACAAATCTGCATTAAACACATTATAATGTCAAACAGCTGATGTGGCTCTAGAGTGTTTATGTTTATATGTTGTAAAGTTGAGTTTATTTATGCAGATTAGTAATAGTAATAATAATGATGACACTTATATAAAAACATTAATGATAATATGAAAATAATGTAATAATGAATTCAAATGAAAATACCTCAAGTTGAAGCTTTTCTCAGCAATTTTTAGGTGAGATTAAAAAAGAGATGAATTAGATTAATTAATTACAGATCATAATTAATTAATCTCTCAATTTTTTGTATCGCTTGACAGGACTATATGTTTTATCTAACTGTACCCCATGGAAGTCTTGCCGTGGGTCTTGTGTATACTTTATTTCCAGCGACCGCTAAAATGAGTAGCTCTCTGGAATTTTCGTTTTGTAAAGGTAGCTCACCCGAGGATAAAGTTTGGAGACCCCTGGTGTAACGGGTATAAAAGCTATAGACAGTGTAGTAGTAGTGGTAGTAGTAATAGTAATATTGTTGGGCTAGAACCAGAAGAACAGATGTGACTCAGGGAGAGACTGGTAAGTTGCCTTTGATTGTACCATTATTATTAAGAGTGCGACAATAGATAAAGTAACAGTGTGAGAATGACCATTCAGTGTAAGAGAAAACACAATATTTACAATATTTAAGATAAGATAAGATAAGATAAGATAAGATAATCCTTTATTGCAGGGGTGTCAAACTCATTTTGGTCCGGGGGCCGTATCCAACCGACTTTGATCCCAAAGTGTCCGGATCAGAAAACTCATGTCATATAAACCCCAAAAGTAACAATAAGTTCAAATATTTGTGAAGAGAAACACAAATCTATTACAGAAATCTTTTTTAATTGATGAACTCTTTCTTTTACAAAATATTATAATATTATGAACAACCTGAAACTTTAAGAAAAATACAATTTCAACACAATGTTTTAACAATAATTTGTATGCAAATAGGAATAAGTCAGTTTTTCTTGGAAAATCCTGCACTCGGCTCCACTTTTCTCATTTTGGACATTTTTCTGATGAGGGTGTCACAGTCAACAGTTAAAGCGTTTGGAAAGAGACAAGTCTTCATTTGTGCTGCTCTGGTGGGAGGGGCCACGTACAGAGACGCTGGAGACGCTGCTGTGATAAACACCACAGAAAATTACCAATATTTTAATAGAAAATATAATTTAAATATTTTAGTAGAAAATCACCCAAGGGCCAGATTAAAGGTCTTGGAGGGCCGGATCTGGCCCCCGGGCCTTATGTTTGACACCTGTGCTTTATTGTCTCCCATGGGAGAAATTTGTCTTGGGACAGGGGGTAACACGCTTTATCAAAAAAACAAAACAAAAACAGGACCAACACAACACAAAGCACCACATAAACAAACACCATAGAACAAAAATAAATATGAGACCAAGTATGACCACGAGTGATGCACCAACAGGACCTTTACATTAGTCTTAACAGGCAAACCCTTTGCATTCTTGTATTCTATTAATAATTGCACATTCCCCTTGAGCCTATGTGCAGTTTTAAGTGCACATTCCCTAAGCCTTTTATAATTATTTTTTAACTGCACTATCTGACTTTAGCAGATTAACAGCTAGTGGCACGAAAAGAATGTTTGAATCTGTTCAGTTTACATTTATAAAGTTCAGAGATCCATCCATCCATTTTCTTCTGCTTATCCAGGGCCGGGTCGCGGGGGCAGCAGTCTAAGCAGAGACTCCCAGACTTCCTTCTAGTAAATGGATCTCTGAACTCTCTGAAGGAAGTCTGGGAGTTCAGAGATCCATTTACTGGAATAATTAAGTTTATGAAGGTTCATCTGAATGACTGAGATGGCACATAGATCAAGCGTGACTGGTAGAAGAACAGTTCCACGCACACAAAAAAATAAGGAACGGTTTGAGCCCAGAGGAAGAGAGTCCGTGAGGAGTGGGAGTAGCAGAAGTGCGAGAGTTAGTGTCAGCTGCAAGAGCCTCCTACCAGTCCGGACAGAGAGAGTAGGATGTTGGGGGTTCCTGGCAGGAATCTCCACAGTGAGTTGAGTTGCGTTTTCTTGTTGTTCAGTTCAGTTCATTGGGCTAGAAACCTTTCCGTAGCTCGCCATCACACAAAAAAAACTGGCCAGTTCCATTAAGTTTTGCGCTAGTAATCGCTCCTGCAGCAACATTCACCTGCCCGTCTCTTCATTTTACCGTTGATCACATTTACTTCAGTGGGTTTTATCAGGTTCGGTCTGTCTGCCCAGTGTCGGGAACTACACCGGAAGCTGTAATCGCATGTTTCCAAACGTCTTCCTGGTTTGGAAACTACCACAAAAACATAATGCATGTTTTTGTGGTAGTTTTGAGGAAAAAAAAACACCTGTAGATTAATAAATACAAGAGATATTTGTTTAATGCCATACTGTGGAACATTCAAGTGAAGCAATAACATCACAAGTCAATCCTAAACGTTACACAGCGCACCTTTAAGACACTGCGGTAACACTTTATAACTACAATTTAAAGGCTCTTGAGGTCAGAATAAGCAGTATTCTGGCTGCTTCTAATTCTAATGCATTGATTGTCTGAGAATCAGGAAGTGTGGGCTTTGCATGCTAGTTGTTGTTAGCTGTAAGAGTTGTGAAAAGCGCTTATAAACTGATCGTGGACGCTCTGAATGCTTGGAGATGTTACTGCTTTGTCTGGAATGTTTCACAGTATGGCATTAAACATTTTTATCTTCAGGGAGACCAAACCAGATGTGGTTACAGGTCAGATCTGTGGAGAGGCGACCCCGCTCACAGTCAGAATGTCTGTTTTTCTTGGTATATTTGAGCAATAAAACCACCTGTAATTGAATAAATGTAAAGTAGAGCTGTAACTTTGTCTGGTTTGGTCTCCCTGAAGATTGATTAATGCCATACTGTGAAACATTCCAGACAAAGCAATAACATCTCCATGGACAAAATGATTTGATGGACCCTCAACCAGAAAAGTTACACAATGCACCTTTAAATTAGGCAAAGATGTGGTACAAGTTCCAGTTATTATGCACTTTCCGTCACGTGACCCCTATAGCAACGGTACCTACGCCGCCATGACACCGGGCAACACTGTCATTGACTTCAGTAACATCGGAGAAACATGGGCAGGTTTTGTTGTGTATTTGGTTGTTCTAGACGCTCTGAAAGGGATAAAACAATTTGTTTCTTCACTGTTCCTCTGGAAATGACTCATCAGGAGCTCAAACAAGGGAATTATCGAAAAAAAGACGCGGATTATGGCTAGAGAACATAAACCGTGAAGAGATTTCCTATTGTACCATCAAGACACCTGAAGTTTCATCAAGGTATTTGCTATTTAAATTGTTTCATAGCTTATTTAATGAAAGAAGCACATTTACTGAACTAAAATGTCATTAATTTATCCAGGAAAACCCGCACTAGTTTACGATTCAACGAACCCACACTGGTCCTGAGATCAACATGATGCACGAGTCGAAGAGTCTGTGAGCCGAACCTCGAAAGAATCGGCCATGAAAAGATCCTCGCGAATGTTAGAAAGATCCACTCGCAAAAAGTGATTAATTCTAGAAGACATAGTTGTGGATAAACAAGACAATAAAGAAAACATCGGTCGTACGACGAGTGACATGTTTATATGTGCGTTGGAAGATACAGTTTCTACTGCCACTCACACTGCAGATGTTTTCTTTTTACATTTTGGTTCAGTAAATGTGCTTCTCTCATTAAATAAGCTATGAAACAGTTTAAATAGCAAATACCTTAATGAAACTCCGGGCGTCTTGATGGTACCATATAAAATCTCTTCGCGGTTTATGTTCTCTAGCCATAATTCGTGTTTTTTTTTTGATAATTCCCTTGTTTGAGCTCCTGATGAGTCATTTCTAGAGGAACAGTGAAGAAAGAATTGTTTTATCCCTTTCAGAGCGTCTAGAACAACCAAATACACAACAAAACCTGCCCATGTTTCTCCGATGCTGCTGAAGTCAATGACATGGCAGCGTAGGTACCGTTGCTATAGGGGTCACATGACGGTGCAAAGCCTCTATATGTCAGCGATAACAAATGGTTTTCCTTGTTTCTCTGCAGATATCGGACGTACATGCGCCCGAGGTACAAAGTGGCGTACAAGATGGTGACTGAGATGGAGTGGAAATGCTGCCAGGGCTACAGCGGCGAAGACTGCAACACGCCCCCCGCTGGTGGGACTGGGGTAGTGCCCGGACACAACGGAAACCACAACTACGGGCAGGGAGGAAGTAACACGAACTACGGACAAGGAGGAACGAACACGAACTATGGACAAGGAGGAAGCAACACGAACTACGGGCAAACGGGGACCGATTTTGGAGCCGGACACGGGACAAATTACGGGGGAGGAAACGGGAACGGATATGGAGGGTCCGGGACCAACACAAACTATGGGCAAGGGGGAAGCACGGGGGGAGGAGGGAGGGTCAGTGGGGGAGGGGGGACGAGCTTCGGTGGATCTGGTACGGGACAGAGCGGAGGGAGCACGGGTGAGTAGATTCTATAATTATTTTATTTAAAGCTTAGTCTTCTATACATGCATCCTGAATTTTGGACTTCAGATCATCACACAATTCATACTGGGAAGGATCCTCCAAAAAATTTTGCATCAAACCTCCATGTTCGTTTTCCCAGTGGGATGCGTCTATTGACAAAGTCGATCTTTTCAAGTCTTTTGAACCATATCACTTTTGTTTCTGGTTCTGATATTGTCATATTTTAGTTTTGGGATTCGGACATCGTAATTGTGTGGTTGTTGGATCCTAACAGCGGAAAACGGGCTTCGGAAGTTTGTGAACTCCATAAATGCAAAAGGGAATCAGATGTGTGTGACTGTAAACCTTTGTTCAAACTGTTTCTCTTCCCAACGGAATTGAAAAATAGTGAAAGGTGAAGGTGATGGGCAGGATTGATCCACAGGAAAAACCAAAAAGCAAACGTTTGACTGACTAAGAAATCATCCCGAGTTTGCAGCGAATATTTTGTATGTGGAGCATCGTCAAAGCAAAATCCCGTTTGTTAATGGAGAGGAGCAGAAGACAAACAGACTGAGCTGCACTTTCTTGTTCTTGTGGTTTTACAGCAACATCACGTCTTGGTCTCTTTGCAGTGGAAGGTGTTTCTTGGTGAACAGTTGGTGCCTTTCGCTTTGGGTTTGACTTTTTAAATTCGTAACCGAGGTTGAGTGAGGGATCGGGGTTTTGCTTTGTTGGCGCTCCACATACAAAATTTTCGCTGCAAACTCGAGATGATTTCTTAGTCAGTCAAATGTTTCCTTTTTGGTTCTTCCTGTGGATCAATCCTGCCCATCACCTTCACCTTTCACTAATTTTCAATTCCGCTGGGAAGGGAAACAGTTTGAACGGAGGTTTGCAGTCACACACATCTGATTCACTTTTGCATTTATGGAGTTCGCAAACTTCTCATTTCTCGAGCCGTTTTCCGCTGTTAGGATCCAACAACCGTGTGACAATATCAGAACCAGAAACAAAAGCAATATGGTCCAAAAGACTTGAAAAGATCGACTTTGACAATAGACGCATCCCACTGGGAAAACAAACATGGCGGGACACTTGGGGCATTTAAAGTTCATACTGGAGATCACATACAAGATGCATTTAATTGGAAATGTGAACGACATCGCAAAAAAACAAAAAAAAAACAGAAAAGGAGGAATGAAAGAAAAGAAATATTGTACCCCAGCTTTAAAACAGTTTGCTCATAGTTTAGTTTGCTGGTTTTCCCCTCATTTCCCGTGTCAATAAAAACTGCTATAACCATAAATATCTCTAAACAATACTGTATTATCTTGTGTTTCTACTTGTGTTTCACCAGTTTATAAACTGTAAGAACTATTCTCATATATTACTCGTGCCTCCTCCAGGTCGTGGGGACAGTGAGCGGGTCCGAAGACTCGAGGACCAGATCCAGAAAATGACCAAGACCCTCCAGGACCTCCAGACCAACATGAACCGACCAGCAGGGGGCAGCACCGGGGGAGGGGCTACCACTGGGGGGACCTGGGGGGGAGGAGGGGGCACAGGGGGGAGGAACCCGGCCGACGCCGCTCAGCCCGAAATCACAGAAACCATCAACAGTATTCAGACCAAACTGGACCAGCTGGACAACCGCACTCAGGTCAGTAAACGACCTACACGATGGACCTATATGTATAATTTTGATAATTTCACCCTTCTTCTTGGAAATCTAACCTAAGATAAATTTCATGTTTTAAAAAATGTAATAAGTTCTCTCCTTATGTCAGTAAAAATCCTTTGTTTTGCTCCTTGTGTTTGTCTAGGCTCATGATAAAACCCTGGTGAGCATCAACAACCACCTGGTGAACGGGAAAGGGAACGACGTGGACGGGGGGACGTCAGGGGGGGTGACAGGGTCGGTCCTGACGTCGCTGAAGGAGGAGGTCCTGAGGGAGCTGGAGAGGAGGGTGTCCCTGTCCTGCTCCGCCTGCCAGGTAACACCGACAACTACTGATATAAGACTGAGTTTATTTATTTATTTCCAGACAGATCCTAACTATGGTGTTTCAGTAACATTATCTACTGTTCCTAGTTATTTTGTGGCTGTTTTAAAGCAAACTAAACCTAAATCTAACTGTGTGCTGCCTTCAGTGGCCTCTGTGATTTCAAGTAGTTGGTGACATCACATAAAACTGCCTTGATCATTGGCTGCACGGGCAGAGTTTGAAGTGTGAATACCTGTTAGACCAATCACACTCATCCTTATACCTCCAAACCTCATCCACCCCTTTTCCTCCCTCACTCTCCCGTTTAGTCCTCTAGACCCTGCCCCTCCTTCTCCCTCTCTCTCCCCTTTAGTCCTCCAGACTTTGTTCCTCCTCCCCCTCACTCAACCCCTTTAGTCCTCCAGACCCCGCCTACTTCTCCTCCCTCACTCTCCCCTTTAGTCCTCCAGACCCTGCCCCTCACTCTCCCCTTTAGTCCTCCAGACCCTGCCCCTCACTCTCCCCTTTAGTCCTCCAGACCCTGCCCCTCACTCTCCCCTTTAGTCCACCAGACCCCGCCCACTTCTCCTCCCTCCCTCAACCCCTTTAGTCCTCCAGACCCCGACTACTTCTCCTCCCTCACTCTTCCCTTTAGTCCTCCAGATCACTTCTCCTCGCTCACTCTCCTCTTTAGTCCTCCAGACTCCGCCCCTACTTCGCCCCTCACTCGTCCCTTTAATCCTCCAGATCCTGTCCCTTGTCTTCCCTCTCTCTCCCCTTTAGTCCTCCAGACCCCCCCCTCACTCTCCCCTTTAGTCCTCCAGACTTTGTTCCTCCTCCCCCTCACTCAACCCCTTTAGTCCTCCAGACCCCGCCTACTTTTCCTCCCTCACTCTCCCCTTTAGCCCTCCAGACCCTGCCCCTCACTCTCCCCTTTAGTCCTCCAGGTTCTCCAGGTATCTCCTCCCTCAGTTCTGTCCCTTTAGAGTTTAGGTCTTTAGTCTCATTTTAAGGAAGAGGTTTTATTTTCCACTATGTTCTAACACTGTATTTGTCATCCGTGCATGTTTGAGCCATCTAGAGATCTTGTAAGTTACGTGTTAAAGGTCCTATATTAAACAAAATTCACTCTTGTGAGCTTTTAGTCATCTTATAATGTTGTTACTTCCTCAAAAAAAAGACCTGGAGATGTGTTTTGTTTCATTCATACATGTTTGAGTAAAACTTTATTATCAGTCTGTCAACATTTTCAAAGCTCAACATGTTCTGTTCCACCTTGTGATGTCATTTAGTGGTAGTTTTCAGGTTAACAGCTCCTTTTACCTTTAGTTCAGTAGAGATTTGGAAATTCCAGGTCTGTTTGTGATGAAGAAACTACATTATAACCAGTGTTGTGAAAGTGACTTTTAAAATGTAATCCCCTACAGATTACAGATTACATACACCAAAATGTAGTTTGTAACGTAATCCAATAAATTATTTAAAGTGAGTAATGTAATCTGAATACTTTGGATTACTTGATTTGCTGTAGAGAAGCAAAGACGAGGAAATCTTCACTTAAGATGTTTTGTTTGTTAAAAGAAAATAAAAAGCCCAAACTTTACTGAACCAAATTAAAAATATTATTGATAGAAGAAGAGGAAACACGTCCACGCAGCAGGATTTAGTCCTGTTAAATCCTGTTTTAGACCTTTTTTAGTCCTGCTTTAGAACTGGTTTTAGACATGGTTTTGATCTAGTTTAGATCTAGTTTAGACCTGGTTTTAGTCCTGATTTAGTCCTGGTTTAGTCCTGGTTTAGACCTGGTTTTAGACCTGGTTTAGACCTGTTTCAGACCTGGTTTAGATCTAGTTTTGATCTAGTTTCTGGTTTTAGACCTGGTTTAGACCTGGTTTAGTCCTGGTTTAGACCTGGTTTTAGACCTGGTTTAGACCTGTTTCAGACCTGGTTTAAATCTAGTTTAGATCTTATTTAGACCTGGTTTAGATCCTGATTTAGTCCTGGTTTAGACCTGGTTTAGATCTAGTTTAGGTCTAGTTTAGACCTGGTTTTAGTCCTGATTTAGTCCTGGTTTAGACCTGGTTTAGACCTGTTTCAGACCTGGTTTAGATCTAGTTTTGATCTAGTTTAGACCTGGTTTTAGACCTGTTTCAGACCTGGTTTAGATCTAGTTTAGATCTAGTTTAGACCTGGTTTTAGTCCTGATTTAGATCTAGTTTAGACCTGGTTTTAGTCCTGGTTTAGGTCTAGTTTAGACCTGGTTTTAGTCCTGATTTAGTCCTGGTTTAGAGCTGGTTTAGACCTGGTTTTAGACCTGGTTTAGACCTGTTTCAGACCTGGTTTAGATCTAGTTTAGACCTGGTTTTAGTCCTGGTTTAGATCTAGTTTAGACCTGGTTTAGTCCTGGTTTAGACCTGTTTCAAACCTGGTTTAGATCTAGTTTAGACCTGGTTTTAGTCCTGATTTAGTCCTGGTTTTGTCCTGGTTTTGTCCTGGTTTAGACCTGGTTTTAGTCCTGGTTTAGATCTAGTTTAGATCTAGTTTAGACCTGGTTTTAGTCCTGGTTTTGTCCTGGTTTAGACCTGGTTAAGATCTCAGGAAAATACCGCAGTTTAATCCATTTATTTCAACAAAGTAACTGTAATCCAATTACCACTCACTGAAACAGTAACTGTAACTGAATACAGTTACTCATAATTTGTACTCTGATTACATACTGGTACATGTAATCTGTTACTCCCCGACACTGATTATAACACAGATTACCAGTTAAACCAGGACAAGTGAGCGCTGCTGCCTCAGAGTGCAGGATCTGTCTTTATCGAAGAGTTAAACATGTTTTTTGCGTTACATTCTTGTGAGTCTTGAGTCAGCATTAGCTCCGACCACATTCACACGTTCAACCAAGTGTCAAGTGATTTATAGAAAGGTAAACCACAGCCCTCTAGTGGGCAAAGGAGATACTGCAAGTGAAGTATTTGTTCACAGGAAAAGCTCTGCACACTTGAGTAGGCAACTGGTCAGTCAAATCAAAATGTAGTTTGAAATAGATTAGAAGACAGACATATAGATTAAAGAAGTAGAAACTGATAATCCATGTGTCATTCGTTCATTCGTTTTTCAAAATAAAATAAAAAAAATAAGCAAATGACAAAACAACAGTTTTCTTCATTATTTGTCTTCAAAACTAAAATGAAAAATCGGATAACAATACTTTTTTTCAGTTTTCGATTTTGTGTTTAAATGAATAATGGAAAAAACAGATAATGGTTGCTTCTCGTTTCCGTGACTTAAACCGCGATGCTGGACTTTTGCGCCACATACAGACTGAACCAGGACTAAACCAGGTCTAAACCAGAACTAATCCAGGTCTATACCGTTTCATAAGTCTGTTTTTGTCTGTTTTTCACATTTTTAAGACAGTATAAATCAGCTACAGCACCTTAAATACTCTGTCTACAGATAAACATATAAATCTATATCCAGGGTTCCCACTTTTTTCACCGACAAAATTTCAAAACTTTTCCATGACTTTTTCATGACTTAAAGTGAATTTTGCATGACTTTACAGCACCCACATGTGTAGAATTGGAATTAATAGAATTAAGGATCACTGAGTCCCTCTGTCCAGTCCAGCTTTGGAAATCTGTGAGTGTTGTTGAACAGATCAGTGTCTTTGGAGAGTCACTGCAGCCAAGTGTTGAAAACTGTTTTTATCAGCTACAGAACATCACTAAACTCAGACCAATTTTATCAAATGCTGATCTTGAAATGATTGTTCACTCTTTTATTTCATCTCGTTTAGATTATTGTAATTCTCTTTTTACTTGTTTTAATGCTTCTACATTTAAGCCGCTGCAACTTGTACAAAACGCAGCTGCAAGATTTTAACAGGAGCAAACAGAAGAACACACGTCACACCAGTTTTATCTTCACTGCACTGTCTTCCTGTTAAGTTTCGTGTTGATTTTAAAATAGTGGTTTTAACTTACAGAGCTTTAAATGGACAGACCCCCAGTACATCAGTGATTTACCGCGCCCCTACACCTCAGGCCACACCCTCCGGTCCTCTGGTCACGGCCTCTTGATGGTCCCAAAGACCCGATTTAAAACTCGGGATGACGTTTGCTTTCAGGCTGTGGCTCCCAAATTATGGAATGCCCTTTCCCCGGCTCGACATGAGGCAGACTCTATAGACTCTTTTAAAAAGCAGCTCAAGACGCTGCTATTTAGATAAGCTTTTAGTTGACTGTGTCTGTAATTCCTCTGTTCCTCTGTTCTTGTTTATATTGTTTTTATGTAGTTTTTTGCTCTGTAAAGCAGTTTGTGATTTTTTATCTGTGAAAGGTTCTGTATAAATAAAAATGTACTTACTTACTTACGAATTGAGCAGACTTTTACGGCTAAATATGAAATGTTAACCCTTTCCACTCACATTATGCTTTGGGATTATAGTTTTTTAACATTCAAAATCCTGTCAGTGCACTTATTGTCATCTCTTTTAAACAAAAGGCGCAGACGTTCACAAATAATCATAATAGCCTCATGAGAACTGAACAGAACACTGGAGTTGCCTGAAAGAGATACTAAGTTTAAGGATTTCCATGACCGTGAGAACCCTGTATAGACGGTTTACCCAAAGTTACGTAACGAGACTTTATTTGTTGTGTTTGTTCCTTTGTAGGCCGGAGTGGAGGACCTTCGACGTCAGCAGCTGGAGGATCGCGAGAGGATCAGAGCGTTGGAGAAACAGCTCAACGCGCTGGACTCCCGTCACCGACAAAACCAGGACGCGCTGAGACGAGACCTAACCCGGGCCCAGACCTGCTGCTCCAACCTCCAAGACCTGCAGAACCGAATCACCAACGCCGAACGCAAGATCACGTCTGCGTCCGAAAACCTGGACAACCTACAAAACCAGTTACACGGTGAAAACGGCGGACTGGGAGGAGCGGGAGGCGGGAACAACTTCGGAATTACCGAAGGAGGAGACAACCAACAAGTGAACGTGCAACTTAGGAATTTCGAAAGACACTTCAACAATACGCTCCGCAAAACTGAAGAAAAATGCTCAAATGTGGAGTCCAAAGTTAAGGAGTATTGTAACAATGAAATTCGGGATCTACAGGCGGTGTTTTTGGATAGATTTGACGACCAGGCGTACAGGATCGCGGACGTGGAGCTGGACGTGAGCAACGTGAAGCAAAAATTGGACGATCTCACCAAAAGAGTGTCCAGTTTGGAGAGTAACGCGACGGCGATTGGGAACAGGGTGGAGAAGTGTTGCGGCGGAGGTGGAGGAGGAGGAGGCGTGGGAGGGTCAGGTGGAGCCGGGGCGTCGGGCGGAGGGAGAGGCGGGCAGGAAGGCGGGAGAGGTGAAGGAGAAGGCGGAGGAAGTGTCTGGGGAGAGGGTGGGGCGGGCGGAGGAGGGACCAGGCCGCAGGGGGGCAGCGCTGGACGACCCGGGACAGGAGCGGGAGGGACCCAGAAGTCTTTGGAGTGGAGGGTGGTGGCGAACGAAGACCAGATCCGGCACTTTAACACCAAACTCAAGGACCTGTCCGTGTCCGGAGAGTCTCTGCACGACAAGGTGAGACTTTCACTATTCGCCAAACTTTTGCAGCTTTTCTACGGAAGTCGAGAGGGGCCACAACAAACGCAAACGCCGCAACAAATACAAATGCGACAACACAACAAAAAGCCACAACAAACCAAAAAAAGCCACAACGGAAATGACCGCGGGACTCTTTTTTAATGCAAACGCCGCAACAAATACAAACGCCACAACACAAATGCAAATGCCGCAACACATCAAAAAGCCACAACACACTAAAAAGCCAGAGCACATCAAAAAGCCACAACACATCAAAAAGCCACAACACACTAAAAAGCCACAACACATCAAAAAGCCACAACGGAAATAACCATGGGACTCAATTTTAATGCAAACACCGCAACACAAATGCAAATGCTGCAACACATTAAAAAGCCACAACACATCAAAAAGCCACAACACATCAAAAAGCCACAACACATTAAAAAGCCACAACACATCAAAAAGCCACAATGGAAATGACCGCGGGACTCTATTTTAATGCAAATGCCGCAACAAATACAAACACCACAACACAAATGCAAATGCATGCAACACATCAAAAAGCCACAAACACAATTAAAAAGCCACGACACATTTTAAAAAGCCCACACACATTAAAAAGCCGCGACACATTAAAAAGCCGCGACAACATTAAAAAGCCAAACAACGCATTAAAAAGCCACAACACATTAAAAAGCCACAACACATTAAAAAGCCACGACACATTAAAAAGCCACAACAGAAAAGACCGCGGGACTCTATTTTCCGACGGACCGATCAAGCGGCAAGTGAAGAAGAAGAACTACAACGTGAAACGAATAATGATAAAACAATAAATTACTTTTACTTACGTTTCCAACCGTTCCTTTACTTTTAAACATGCTTCTATCGACACTCTTGCCAGCACAGGGCATCACATATTTTTCCTTCACACACAAAGTTTATAGTTGTGAACCCTGAAATTTTAATACAAAGATGTACAAAGGCTAAACACTAGTTTGCTCTGCATAAATATAAAAATGTGTTCTAGTTTGTGGATTTTGTTGATGTTGTAAACCCCTTGACCGTCCTGCAGGTGGTGGACTTGAGTCAGGACGTGCGTAAAATCAAAGACCTCACCGGAGACCACGGGGAGCACTTCAACCGCATCGTGACGGAGGTGGAGACTCTGGGCCACGGCTGTGATCTGTGCGCTCGAATGGAAAACGAACTCAAGAAGATCCAGAACTCCTCCAACCACACGCTCACACAGATACAGGACCAGATCAGGACCATCCAGACCAGACTGGACTCAGACCGGGGATCCAACCAGGTCTCAACTGGCAGCGGTAAGGATTTAAAATCAATTTTGACAGCTCAACCTATTTACCTGACTCATGCAAGACTGACATGTGCAGCTCTCTTGACTGAGTTCTACACGTTTTAGACTGAAAAGGCTCGGGAAAAGGTTAATATTTAAATCTGACTGGTTGAAACGTCACAACAGCCAAAGATGTTCATTTTGTCTTTTTATGTCCTTTAACTTCTTGGGTTCTTTTTAAAGACAATACAGTAAAGTGTATTTACCTTGTTGACATGTTTCGGCTGCTGATGCATCTTCAGAACAACACGGGAGTGTTGGTGTTGACGTGTCGTATATCAGATGTTGTTACTTCCTGTAGGTGTGGTCAGACCTGAAGGACCTGCAGGTCGCTCAGACTGACCACGCCTCCCGTCGCCCGGTGTCTCTGGAGGAGTGTGTCCCAGGTGTGTGAAAGGAGGAACGTTCCGTCATCAGGGTTCATGCTGTCCGAGTGTCCGCGCCTCGTTTCCTGATTTATCCATCCTTCCTGATCCAGCGTTTGAACTTGTTGTTCTTTGATCGAATGACCCGAGCCCCGTCTCAATCCATGATGTGGTTATTTCTTATACAGTGTCTGATATGGCGGACTTTAGGTTTTTCTGTTCTGCTTTGTCTTTTTGTTCTGGTGAGTCTCCCTGATGTTTCCTTTTCACATTCCTTTTGGTGTTCCAAAAGCAGACACAGGAAAACCTAAAATCCACCATATCAGACCACTGTATTGTCTTTAAAAAGAACCCAAGAAGTTAAAGTAGTCTTGGCTTGTTTGTGCTCTTCATCTTTGGCTCCACCTACACTACAGTGCTGCTTTTTGATTGGTCTGGTGGTCCAGGCAGCAGCCAGGCCTCTGGAGCTTGTGAACTCACAAAAATCGTGCTGTGAACGATTATATCAACTTAATAAGTTGATTTAAAAGTTGTTGTTTTTTTTAATGCTTGATTCACTGTTTTCAAATAGAACAATAGAAGTAGTTAAAACAAATAGAAAATGATTAAATGATTAAATGATTTTGTTTCCTCTCTGTAGATCGTGGGGACCAGTGCTGCTCCAGGCTCCAGGATCAGGTGCAGCTCCTCAGGCAGGACGTGCAGAGGTGCAGCGGGTGTAAAACCTCAGCAGACACTCCCACAGGTCAGAGTCTGTGACCAGATTGACAATTTTACTTAAATCCATGGGGAATAAATCAGTACAGAATGTTTTCACTATTGCAACTTTAAAATGTACAAATGAAGAACCATCGTACTGACTGTAACCCTGCTCCTCTCTCCTCTGTGTGCAGGTGGAGAGAGCCCCGGTCTGGGCGGCTCCTCTCCCCCCTCGGTGAAGCTTCTGGACGGACACAGTGTGATCGGTCCTCTGAGCTCAGAGCAGCTGAAGGCTCTGCAGGGTCAACTCTCAGAGGTCATCCTCTCCTTCAGCTCCATCAACGACTCCCTCAGAGGCTTCGAACACACCGTGAACAAGCACAGCAGCGTCATCACAGACCTGGGTGAGACTCATGTGGAAATGAGACGGTTACATGAACAAAACTGAAAGATTGAGACAGAAAAACCCAAGAGACAGAACTTGAGTGTGTTGTGGTCCAACGAGGTTCATTTGGTCTTCTGGTCATTTCTTTTATTTGATATGATTTGTTTTTTTGGGTTTTTTTCAGACCAAGGTTTAGTTTGTTTTCATATCTGACAGTTTCAGCTGCACACTAGTGGTCTTCCTCAGAGTGGTCATGTGATGTTGCTATGACGTGTCCTGTGATCAAACTTTCCTGTCCAAACAGCTGTCAGAGCAAGAAAAACTGTCTTGATAATCAAATCTAGATGAAAAAGAAAAACGTGGCAATATGCAAACTATTTACCAAACTGGACTTCAGTTTAGTTAATCCTGAAAACCACATTTAGTCCTGGGGAAACAACTGGTTCCTTTCTCAGTCCTGGTTGAGTCCTGTTCAGATTTAACCTGGAAAGTTTAGTTGTTTAATGTTAACTTTAAGGTTTTTCTTTATGAATTTTATTTATGATTCCTGGTGAATCCTTTGCACCTGGAACTGTGTTTTCTCAGACTTTAGGATGGGGACCTCTGGTGGTAAAGAATCAGGGCTTCCTCTGCACACTTTAGAGCTTTTCTTTTTATCTGGTTTTCATTGTATGTTTGGTCTTGCCCACTTAATTTCTGTTTACTGTGACAAGTACAGGCTTTAAATGTGCATTGTGTAACTTTTCTGGTGGAGGGTCCATCAAATTCTTTTCTCCATGTAGATGTTATTGCTTTGTCTGGAAAGTTTCACAGTTTGGCATTAAACCTTTCTGTCTTCATGGAGACCAAACCAGACAAAGTTACAGGTCAGATCTGTGGAGAGGCGACCCTGCTCACAGTCAGAATGTTTATTTTTCTAGCTATTTTTGAGCTCTAAAACCACCTGTAATTGAATAAATGAAAGGAAGAGCTGTTTAATGTCACACTGTGGAACATTCCAGGCAGAGCAATGACATATCCAGAAGGAAACAGACCCTTAAAAAGTTGCATAGTGCACCTTTCAGTAACCATATGTAAGGGTGCTTTCACAGTAATTGGTGCACCAGAACCAGAAGTTCTTAGTTCGGTTTGTTTTCGTTGGTTTGAAAGCATCAATCACACTCAGATCTGCACTGAATCAAGTGGACCGAGACCTCAAAAAAGACATGCAGGTGCTTGAATCCACACCAAATGCCAAACTCTGGTGCAGTCCCTCTGGTGGAACACCACCTCGGGTCCAAACCATAGACAGCAAGTCCAAACAAACTATTCGAAATGCATCATGGGAGGGCAGGCGGAACAATTTCCAAAAATGATGATCAAAATGATCCTCCAATCAGAAATGAGCCTCACAAGTCTCTTGTTTGGGTTGCCAGTGTCTCTCTGATCTGAAAGGTCATTGCCTAAACCCCAGCACCTGCGGCCAGTGCAGCCGCTGCAGCTCAGAGAGGGAATTCTGAAGGTTCTTTTACATGAGGCCTGAACATAAACTGAGAATGAGACAAACGCAGGATGTGTCTCTATCTGCAGGTTCAGGCTCTGGAGACACAGGTTCAGGGCATGAAAATGTATTTAAGAGCTTTAGCAGCCTTTACACCTGCAACTGAATAATTGAGATTAAATGAGATTAAAATCATGTGGAACATTCTCGGTAAAGATAAGCAGGCGGTGGACCCTTTACCAGAAAAGTTACATAGTGTACCTTTAATGCTGCTCTCCTCTCTTCTGCATCATGTTTTTATTGAAGATTTAAAGTGCACCTCACCACATTCCTGGTTTCAGATACTCATTTACTTCCCCTTTTCTATGTCTCAGGCCTGAACCGTCACGTGTCCAGCCTGTGGTCGTGTGTCGGGGGTCTGAACGACACCGTGGTGCTTCACGGAGGTTTGATCGATCTGATTCAGAACAGTGAAGAAGAAGTCCACCGCAGAATCAAGAGCCTCAACTCCACTCTGAGCAACGCAATCAAAGACCTGCAGGGGGCGGGAGCGGGGGAGCAGGCCCGAGGTAAAGACCTGTAAAGGAAGACAGGGGAGGTTAAGGTTCACTTTATTGTTCATGTGGGAAATTTATCCTCTGCATTTGACCCAAGGCAAGGCAAGTTTATTTGTACAGCACAATTTGTACACAAAGTAATTCAAAGTGCTTTACAGAATAAGAAATACATAAAAAATCATAATAAAAACAAATCAAAACCCAGCCTTCAAAGTCACTGGGGCACCGCATCAGGATAATTAAATACCACGGTGCTTTTTTTTTTTTTTTGGAGCTTTCAACCATGTTCTAACATTATTCTTTCATTAAAAACATGTCTGAAGAGGTTTTAAAGGGACAGTCTGGAATTTTGGACATAGGACCTCATTTCCTATTGAGCCAGAGTGTTGGAGACGTGTGGAGACACTTTTTTAAATATTCCATCTAGTCCTTGTGTTTGCAGAGGTCACTGGTGTTAGACTAGTGCATGTCAATGGTCATACTTATCCTGCCACTAAAAATAGTCTTACCCACTCCACAAAACACCCAAAACAAATCTATTATTACACCAGACTGTTCATGTAAATGTCTGTGTCGATAGAATAATTTTAGAAGTAAAACCAGCCTTGCATTTGAAGGATTTAGGTCTGAGCAGCAGCGAGTTGTACTTCCAGATAGAAAGTTTGGCAGCGGCGGACTGATATATGAGAAAATAGTCCCTCGACGTGCGACGATTCATGCGATGCAAGGTTAGTTTTATTTCAAACGTTATTCTACCGACACAAACATTTACACTGACAGTCTGGTGTAATAATAGATTTGCTTCGGGTGTTTTGTGGAGTGGGTTTTTGTGGCAGGAGAACTATGACCATTGACATGTGCTGGCATAATTAGGAAATGAGGCCCTATGTCCAAAATTCCGAACTGTCCCTTTAAAATCCCTTTTTGGTTGCAGAATTAAACCAAAAAAATGCAGATTTTCAGAGCTGAACCAGTTAAGAGCTGGGCCAGAAATGAGGACCAGTTCCAATGGATTACTAAACCTTAAGTTCTGATATTATATTGTCCTCCTATGACAAATAAATAATTGAAAAATTGAAGGCAAAACCAATGCTAACTGCTACAGAAGCTGCTACACAACACAATACTATACAAAGATATGATACAAAACAATACACTACAACTTCACAAACCTGATGCGATGGTCAGGAGGTTCATTAGTGAGATGTATGTTGACGACGTTGTGATCGTGCTCTGAAGGGGGAGTGATTCAGAATGTCAAAAACGAAACATTTTAACTTGTTGTTTTCAGCAAATAAAGCATTTTCCAAACACTAGAACATGTAACACGGTGATATAAATTATGTAACTCCCCCTATAAGTGTAATTGTCCCATTTGAATGATTTTGTTGAGTAATGTGGGAAATATTTTGTGTTGATCGTGCTGATTCACCCAATATCTTGTACCTTGGAATGACAACAGGGTGAAAAACACGTATGACTATCTATAGTTCTATAAAAGACATGTTTTTCTGTACTTTGAGATGCCACGAAGCAGAAAACTGATGTATGTGGACCCCGTGGCATGTACCCACCCATGATAAAGTGCACCGGGTCAGCATTATTGTTCATTTTCTTGCTGTATATGCTAAATCAACAAGTTAATGTTTTGTCAGATGTGTGGTATAAAGCTCCCCCTCGTTGTGAGTTGGGCAGAGGCGTCGTTCCAGGGTGGCAGTTGTACTTGGTAATCAACACTGAATCTCTGAATGGAAAATGCTGAAACAAAGTGGCCTGTTTCTCGGATCCTTCCATCTTTTGTGCTTCTTTCTAGGACACGCACTGAACCTTCCGAAAAAAAAAACCAACACAGTAATGCCACTTGTTTTATTCTCCAGGACCTCCAGGACCTCAGGGGGAGCGAGGGTACCCAGGGGCGAGGGGTCCTCCTGGGCTCCCGGGACGACAGGGAGACGTCGGACTTCGAGGACCTCCAGGTGAAAACAGCTCAGATTATCTTCAGAAAATCAAATTATGAATGAATACATTATCTGTGTTTGTGTTCTGATCTGATTTCTATCTACTTCTTTTTTTTTTTGTCCAGGTCCCAAAGGTGATGCAGGTGTGTGTTTGTTCATTTCTATGACTCGTTAATCTGCCTGTCAGTCACTATTAAAGGTTGTATAGAGGATTTTCCAAGGAACGAGAAATCCAGCGACTGTTTGTCCTTTTTCAAATGTTGCGCATGCGTGAAACCACCCCCCTCCCCCACAGCTCCTACGTAGAAACACCTCCTCCCTCCTCCTCCTTACGCCAGAAACAGGTTTGTTTACAGCCGGTGCACATGACTTGTAAACAACTAACTACAGTGTTGGTTAGGCAAGACGGAGAAGTGAGGAGCGGGGGGAGGGGTGCGCGGATATTTCGTGCGCGGACAAGAAGTGAGGAGCAGGGAGAAGAAGCGGAGCAGGGAATGAGGAGAGGAGAGAGGAGGGAGAGGGGAGCGGTGCGTGGAGATTCCGTGAGGAGCAGGGAGAAGAGTGGAATGGGCAGAGAGGGCGCGGAGATTCCGTGTGAATGAACTAGCTACTACTACAACACGCAGCAGCAAGCGGACTCTTTCTTTGCCTTGAAAATTGACCTTTTCAGACATAGGATATTCGCATTCATGTCCTGAAAAACGTTTGTCTAACTCTTGGAAATAAAGACGTTTTCATAATAAGCAGAAGTTTCCTGTCCAGAAGTAATTTGTGGACCAATGCGTCAGTCTTTAGACCCTGCGTCTGCTTCAGTTGCGCCATCGCTGGAATGAATCTTCAAGAATCACCTTAGTTTGGTTTCGCTGCTTTTCCCCTTGTCTTCTTCTTTCAGCGACCTCAAAAACAGACTTTGTTTTGGGGCTAACTGCTCGTAGATTCTTGTCGCCATTGCAATAAACTTTGTGCGAACTGCGAGGAAGATATAGGTCAAAAAAAGCCGCTAAGAACTGTTGCGTTGGTGGAGTAAACAGCGTCTGTGCGTCTGTGGACTGCGTGACAGTCGTACGTAAACCACGTACCGGCGGCGCAGGCAAGTCAGTTACACTAGAAACGTAGGGAGATTGATTGACAGCCTGTCAGCTCACAGATAACGAGGCAGTGTCGTTATCTATTGGCAAATGTTTAGCCCCACCACGTCCAGAGTTGATGAATTTTTATTCTCTTTTTTTTGGTCATCATAATTACAAGGCTACTGCACCTCTATAATCTATCATTGACAATTTGAAACAAAAAAAAAAACAAAAAAAATCCTCCATACAACCTTTAACTGGAATCTAGGAGACAGGAAACGCACACATCTTTGTAAAATGTAGTTAAAGTGTGTGGTTTTATTTGGCCAGGCAAGGGTCAAGTGGCATTGCGCATGTTAAAACAGTGAGAGTAGTAATATATAACATACATGACTTAATTTCAGTTGGAGTCTTTCTTTCTAATATATTTCGTGATGCGTCTGATTGGATTTGACACATTTTGTTTCGTTGTCCCTCAGGTCTTCCTGGTATCGACGCTCTGGTCCATAAACTGTCCTTCTCGGCGGCTCTCACGGTCCCTGTGGAGAAACCAGGGACCGTGGTGTTTGACAAGATCTTGGTGAACGAGGGAGACTTCTACGACCCCAAAACAGGTCCAAGAACACACAACATCTCCATCAGACAAGGTTTAGTTTGATCAAATAAAGACGCTGCTGGAGGGTGTAGAGAAGGAGATGGAGAGGCTGAGGAGGCTGGTGGTTCTGCTGCTGAAGTGGAGGTGGGACAGAGGACAGTTGGAGCTGAAATCACAGAATGATAAAAGAGACAGATTTTACTGAATTATATGACAGGACTTTTAAGTCTTGATCTATTACGGATTCACATTGTTTTTACTAAACCTCACTACAAACTCATGAGTCCATGTTGATACCGAATGACTCGATGAAAAATATTAAAGCTTCAGTGTTACGAACAAGGGAGAGTCCACACATGTTTAAAAAGTGTTACAAAAATAGATATTTATTTAAAAACAGAATGCTAGCTAAGTTGTGGCTGCATGGTGGAGAGGAGAGAGAGAGAGAGCCAGTCTTTAAAGGTGGTAGGCCACGCCCACAATCAGGTGCAGCTGGTTGGTTGGCCCTCCCACTTTGGAATCTGGAAGGGAGGACGGAGAGAGAGCCAGCAGCAGCACAAACACACCCACAAAATACAGACCCAAGCTGGAGTCGTAACACCCTCCCCCTTAAGTAACTTTCTGGAGATGGCACGTCCCCTGAGAGGCACCAAAAAAGCCATTGGGGAGGCGCAACACACACGGACTAAACCAGGACCGAACCAGAACTGAACCAGGTCTGACTGGACCTGGACTGGCACAGAGCTCTGCACCTCACTGAGCTAAGAGCCACCGACGCCTGATCGCGCTTTGCAGACACCCTGCTGTGGGCGTAGGGTTTCCCCCCTCTCTCTCTCTCTCAAGTCCAAGATTAGTCCTGATCTCGTCCTGGTTTAGTCCTGGTTTAGTCCTGGTGTCCTACTGATGTTCAGTTATGTTAAAAGTCGCCTCAGTTAGGCCTGCATGAAGTTGGAATTATTTGCTGTTGCAAAAATGGCTTAAAAAATATGAAAATACAATATTAAATAAAAATATATTATCAGTTGTTATTAAAACTCATCACTGCAGGAACACAAAAGATACTTTTACTGTGAGGGAGGCAGGCGGGGGGAGTTTGGTCAAGAGGGAGGGGCTCAGCTGTCTTTACCTACTTCAAGGGGAGGCTCACATACACACAGTTTGACCCCGTCTTTAAGCCATATTATAATACTGCCTCATCAAAACAGACCTGGAGCTGTGTTTTGTTTCACCCGTCTACATCTCCAAAGCTCAAAATGCTCTGTTCCACCTTGTGATGTCATGGAGCTGTAGTGTTGAGGTGAACAGCTCCTTTTACCTTTAGTACAGCAGAATTTGGCAATTCCAGGGCTGAAATGATCCAAATGATTCTTGTGAAGGTGTATGGATTTTAAAAACACAGTGGAGCACTTTATGTATTGCCACATGACCTCATAAGGTGGAAAGTATTTTCTGTCTGAGAGAAGAACTCAGCCTAAATGTGCAGGGTTTAAACATGTCTGAATGAAACAAAACACAACTCCAGGTCTGTTTTTGAGGTGGAAATAACATTCTAACTCTTTAATGATGAAAAATATTACATTGGTCACACTTTTACTCACACGTCACCTGCCTCTCTGACAGGTATCTTCACTGCTCCTGTCGACGGCCGTTACTTCTTCAGCGCCATTTTGACCGGATACAAAAACGAGAAGATCGAGGCGGTCCTGTCCAAGTCCAACTACGGCATGGCGCGCGCGGACTCCGGCGGGTACCAGCCCGAGGCTCTGGAGAACAAACCCAAGGCCGAGGCCAAGACCATCGCCGGGTCTTTGGTCGTGTTCAACCTGATCCTCCCGCTCCAGGCCCAAGACACCGTGTGCATCGACCTGGTGATGGGGAAACTGGCTCCTCATTCTGTGGAGCCCCTCACTGTGTTCAACGGGATGCTCCTGTATGAAGATATGTGAGACCAGAATGTACACAAAACAGGAGTTTAGAAGAAGAGTTTATTTGCTGTTTTGGCCACGATTACCTGTATTTGACTGTTGATACTTTGCAGCTGGTGTCATCCACATTCTTTGTGGGATCTATAAAGCCGGGCGCACACTGTGGGAGACAGAATTTTCATTCCCGCTCCCACCCGCATCTGCAATATTCTGTCCTGCTCCTGTCCGTAAATCCCGCAGGATGTGGACGTTCGCTTTCTTAAGTTCTATCATACACGGAGAAGCGGAAAGAAACTGTCTAAAATGTGCGTGAAATTAGACCACATCCACAAATTTAAGCTACCTAAAATGTTTTTTTTAATGCCAAATAAAATATCCAGCACAAATGATGTATGACAGGCATACATTAATCATTTGTATATTTTACTTTACACTCATATTTAGTTTGCGGGACTTCAGTTTATCATCCCACACCCGCCCGAGCCCAAAATATGTCCCGTGCCGCACTGTTCTGTGTCTGGTCCCGCATGTGTACATCGCTCTATCGTAGGGTTTTAAAGTTCCCAGCTCACGATTCATGTTCTCACACTAAACGATCAACTTCAACAGAGCAAAACCCTCACAAGACGCGACCGGATTTCGAACAGGTTTGATTTTCTTGCGACCTGGCGTGAAGTATTAATCATTTCTCCTTAACGCATGTTTATGACACAAAGCACAACACACGATTAAGCCAAAAGCTCCATGCGCCGATGAGCACAGGCCACTGAAAACAACACGACACCATCTTAAGTCCACGACGCCATCTTGGGTTCACTTTCAGATTTTATTATAATTCTAGGATGTGAAGCTAACTGAAAGCACTACTCTGTCTGAAGCTCTGTTTAAGGAAGTTAGAGTTAATCTGAGTTTTATTTTAACAGTCTGACGTAGGGTGACCAAACGTCCGTTTTTCCCTGGACATGGGTGTCCTTTTTTTTTTTTTTAAGTACTGGAAATGTCCGGGTTTTCATTACCGTTCATTGGGTCCATTAAATTGAGCGGCTCTCGTAGCTCTCTGTGACTCAGAAGGAGCGAGCAAACACAAACAGTTGGTCAGTCTGCAACATGCGCATTTAACAGTAACTTGTACAAGAAATTTTCCATTTTCCATCCCGGTCGAGACAAGTGGGAGGCCATGTGCACAGGTTGCGAGGTGAGAGTAGCTCAATGTCCAGGCCCCACCCCGGTAAAGTGTCCGAGTTTTCACAAACGTAAATATGATCACCTTAGTCTGACCAGATAAAGATGACTATAGTTGTAACAGATCAGCCGATTTGTGCTGTTCTCTTTCACCTTTTTGTCAAAAATCAAGCTCCTAAACAGAACGTTCAAACTGATCACAGACTCCTGAAAATGCGTTATTTAAATCTACTTTGTATATATTTTTTTACTGATCTTAAAACTTTTTGGACAGTTATCACTGATGCGTGCGTCGTGTCACCATGGTAACCGCTACATGCATCTCTAATGGTGGAACATTTAGCCCCCAGCCTGATGTCTCTGCAAAGTATCAACAGACTGTTTTTTTTTTTATATATATATGTATATTGACAACTGAAACTCACTTGCTTCCAGAAGTAAATTTTCCTTTCATTTTTCCCATAAACTTTTTGAAAAATTCAAATATTAAGAGTTCAAACACATAGCTGAGGCTAACGTGCTACATGCTAACGAGCTACATGCTAACGGGCTACATGCTAACTAGTATCCATAATGAGGTTGTTTTAAATCCAAAAGGCATAAGATTCTGTGAAATTATTTAATGACTTAGCTGTTTATAAAGTTATAGACGAGGATTTTATTTTGTATTATTACTTTTTTTTTATGTTTAGGGGAAAAATGAATAAAAACGCTACTTCTGGATCCTTGGAGTCACCGTTTAGCTCCATTATTTTTAGTCCATAACAGCATCACAAAAGTTGGGTATCAGTATCTCCAAAAAAAAATCAGTTTTGAAATGTCTGTATTATTTGTTTTTTGGTTTGTTTGTTTTTTTGTCTTTTTTTAATTTTTGCCAAGATAATTACAAGCGAGTTAAAGTCTAATCTGAAGATGGCGGTAATCGTAATTCCTGTGACGATCGGCTATTTTGGTCAAATTCATGTCCTGATTCACAAATTTGGGCTCCGTGCTCAAACAAAGACAACGTTTCCCACCCATTCTTCTCATTATTCCGCCTCCTGAGTGAGTGACAGGCGGGTTTAACCAATCACAGAGAAGTGTGGACTTTCAAAAGAAGCAAATGAATTTAATTAAAGACGTTTACATGAATCATGATTAAATCGAAATCGTGATCTAGCTCTGAGAAAATCATAACATTATTTTAAATCGCAGGTTGTCTCTGTTCAATAATATAAGGCACTTAAAAAAAACAACTAAACATGAAAAACTGAACAAAAGTGCGTTGTGTAACTTTTCCGGTGGAGGGTCCGTTCCATTAAATGTTATTTCTTTGTCTGGAATGTTCCACAGTATGGCATTAAACCTTTTTAACGTCACAGTAACCAAACTAGACCAAGCTACAGGTCAGATCTGCGGAGAGGCGACCCCGCTCACAGTCAGAACGTTGTTTTTCGAGGTATTTTTGAGCTGTAAAACCACCTGTAATTGAATAAATGTAAAGTAAAGCTGTTTTAATGTCACACTGTGGAACATTGACGTGTCCGTAGAAACAAACCGATGACAGACCCCCAACCAAAAAGTTACACCGTGCACCTTTAAGGACAGCATGTCGTTTTTAGACGCAGTAAAAGTACAAACAGTATCTGCAGTAAACCCCACGTTACTCTTGTAAATGTGTACATTGTATTTCCTCTTATAGATTATATGCTATTGTTAAAAATAGCTGTGTGCGCTGTAATTGTGAAACTTTTATTAAAATGTGGAAAAAAGAGCCTTATATGTTGATAAAATAAGTGTTAAAATCATGCATGTGAATACAGCTGTATGTTAAAAAGTTTGAGAGAAATTACGCTTTTTTCAGATCTATGTTGTAATGTTGTTTCCTCATCATGAATTTCAATTAAGAATGAAAAACTAAATGGGAAAAGTGTTTGTTATTTCATTATTCTGCTTTAGTGTCCAAAAAAAAAAAAGATTTCGACCTCTATTTCCAATATTTAATTTAAAGTTTATTTCAGATAACACCAATCAGAAAACAGTGTCGGTGCCTATTTTAATTTTGATATTTTATACTCTTTGGTTTATTTACTTTGGAAGTTCTGCTGCTAGAAGGACTCACCTGAAAAATGGTTTCAGTTTTATGGACAAACATGTCATCGACGCATTTACTTTGGTGTCTTAGAACATCATCACTGAACTCCATGATGAGAAAAAGGAAGGATCGAAGTGATAAACTTTGTTCAGTTGACACCATAGAACTAAAATAAAAATTGTTTTTATTATAGATCCATGGTTGACACTGCAGCAGAACTTCTGGAGCAAATAAACCAGAGAGAATAAAATATCAAAATTGAAACAGGCACTGAGACTGTTTTTTGATTGGTGTTATTTGAAATAAACTTTAAATTAAATATTGGAAACAGAGGTTGAAATCTGTTTTGTTTTTTTGACACTAAAACAGAAAAATCAAATAACAAACTGTTTTCCCATTTTATTGTTTTTCGTTCTTAAATGAAATTCAAAAAAACAAATGGCACACGGACCACGAACAGACCTGGAGTTGTGTTTTGTGTTATTTTATTCACACATGTTTAACACACAAACCTCGTATATTTCGGCTGAGTTTTTCTCTCAAACAGAAAACACTCTGTTCCGCCTTGTGATGTCATGTGGTAATACAGGAAGCGCTCCACTGTGTTTTTAAACTCCACACACCTTCACTAGAATCATTTGGGTATTAAACAGTCAAATTTTTATACAGCGCTTTTCCACGTTCAAGTCACTCGAAGCTCTTTACAACAAGGAACCACTCACCCATTCACACACACACACACACACACTGGGGCGAGGTGGGTTAAGTGTCTTGCCCAATGACACAACGGCAGCATTCACCCAGGGGAGCTTTAATTGCATCGCCAATCTGTGGTCAGGGTTCTCACTGTCATGGAAATCTTGGAAACATCATGGAATTTTAGTATCTCTTAAGTTCTGTTAAGTTCTCATTAGACTATTATGATTATTTCTGAACATCTGCACCTTTTGTTTAAAAAAGATGACAATAAATGCACGGACAGGATTTTGAATGTTAAAAACTATAACAACAAACCATAAGGTGAGTGGAAAGAGTTTCATATTTACCCCTAAAAGTCTGATCAATTCTATACATGTAGGTGTCGTAAAATCATGGAAAATTCACTTGAGGTCATGAAAAAGTCATGGAAAGGTTTTGAAATTTTGTCAGTGAAAAAGAGCTATGTGGGTATCAGTGGACAAACGCTCTGTCAACTGAGCTACTGTCACCCTGGAATTTTCCATCTCTAGTAAAAAAAAAAAAGGTAAATGGAGCTGTTAACTTGAAAACAATACAACTTCATGACATCATAAGGTGGAACAGAGAACATTTTGAGCTTTGGAGATGTAGACCGACTAATAATAAACGTGTGAATGAAACAAAACACAGCTCCAGGTCTGTTTTCGAGAAGGTAACAACATTTTAACATGACAAAAAATTCACGTAAACTCAAGTAAATTTTGCGTAATACAGGACCTTTAAATCCTACTTCCTCCTTCCACAATTCCACAAAACTTTTAAGGTAAAATTAAGCACAATTTTCATTTTTTTAAATTGTCGTTTAAATGTTGTTCCCTTAAAACCTTTCCAAAGATAAACGTTATTTTTCTAAACATGAACTACCAATGAAAATGAGTCATATTTATTCAAAAAACGATTTATACCTTACTACTTTTTTTGTTTTGTTTTTTACATTTCTAAATACAAACTGTAAAAATAAACACATATATTCTCTACATATTCAAAAAAGTACAAATGATTTTACGCCACGGACATTTGAACTCGGTCCTTCTACGTACAACGTGCTGCCAATGACGTAATGAAAGACTTTTGGCGCCCTCTAGTGGCCGGACTGTGCACTGCGCCTGGACTTTTGGAAAACTGCAGCAGCAAAAATCAAAGAAAACAACTTTGTAAAGACACGTTTTGACACGAGAGGATCCTCCGAACTGTAAAACGAGCCTGAATCTCCGGACGTGTTTGGCGAAAGTGAAAGTTTTTTTTGTTTATAAAATTATATATTTGTCACGTGAATGTGTTTGGAGAGTTGCACCTTTGTTGCCTTTGCTACGCTGCAAAAACTGAATGTCCAAAATGGGTTAAAATGACTAGAATTAAAGGTGGACGATGCATCTTTCTGGTTGTTTCTATGGCTACGTCATTGCTCTGCCTGGAATGTTCCACAGTGTGACATTAAAACAGCTCTACTTTACATTTATTCATTTACAGGTGGATTTAAAAGCTCAAAAGTACTAAGAAAAACAGGTATTCTGACTGAGTG